CAACAAATGAAATTTACTACAACGAGTCGCTACGTTTGTTTCACGAAAAGCGTGATTTTTACAGCAAATTTGCATAAAAACGTACAAAAGCAAACCTAGGTAAAAAGATTTTCGTCAAATATTTTACGGGTATTCGCGTAAATAATACGTGAAGAGATTTTAATTGAGGACGAATCGAAGGGATGAATGCTATTAATTGCAACGTGCGTAATGATCAGCGCCCGTCAATTTGTGGTGCGATAGTCGGTGACAATGTAAACAATTTACTCGAAAAGTGCCTCAAATCCGCTTTCGGTTCTGAATACGGGCTAACTAATCGCCGATAATTTCAAATGTCAATTGAACGTTTTAACACTGGAACGGTCTAGACGGAGTCACATTCAAATATTTATTCCGGAGTTTTCCATCGGTTCAGTCTCAGCAGGCATCGCCATTTCGCTGAGCGCAGAGGACGCAGAAGTATATTCGCCCGGGGAACAAGAAAAATTTAAAATTCGTGACGCGCGCATCGCACATTTAATACAGTGTATCCCGCTGATGTATTGTTTAACTATGAATAATTCACTCTTCGGGTGCGCGCCGATCTAATCCCGCCACGCTTAACCCGCTCCGCTAGCGATCGCTAGCTCCCCGGCCTGCGATCGTGTCGGGGACGTTTATCTCTTATCCCTTTGATTCCTGAATTATTCATGACAGAGCTGCGACCAAAACAAGGTGTCGCTCGCTCGGCGCAAACGGTCATGACGGCATATTTGTAACGCGGACAAGACGCGATAATTCATAACGCGCTTTGTCCGCCCGCGGCGAAGTGTCATCCCCGTGAACCGTAACGTCCGAATGACAACGCGCTATTTTATGCGAAGAATTCTAGTAAATTAATCGCTCGAGCGTAGGTTCTTGCGCTACACCGAGCGAGTCTTTTACTTCTGTTTGCTTCCTCTCGAGCGTTCTTAGCTACCGACATGGAAAAGGTTACAGAAGTAACGTACAGGGCATAGACATAGTCAATATAGACTGAGCATTTCATTGAATAAGCTGAAGCTTGTGAAGAGAGCGACAGAGGAGTTTTAAGAAGACTTTCTTTCCTCTGTCTCACCATCGAGACAAAGGAGGCACAGGCACGATTCTTTTCTTTTACGATGGTGTAAGACAGAGAAGGAAAGTCTTCTTAAATCTCTCTCTCTCTCTCTCTCTCTCCCCCCCCCTCTCTCTCTCTTCACAAACTTCAGCTTATTCAACGGGACGCTCAGTCTATATTTACTATGCCTATGGTACAGGGTGTTACAGCAACATACAGATCAGTATGACGGGTTGCCTATTCCCGCAGGCGCGCACGATACCTGCACTATCAGGCAACCCGTCATACTGACCCGCTGTAACACCCTGTATGTATGTACATGTCGGTATATACTTATATATAAATCGGTGGAGGATTGCCCTGTCACCGAATTGGAGCTCTTGGAGAAAATTGAAGTATACAGGTTTCCCCGTTCTTAGCGTGATCCAAAATCAACGGCGCGGACGTGACGAGAAAGAACCTATGGTTCTCTCTTACTTTTGTCGCTATTTCTTTGTTACATATGACGTGTTTTTTTATCTTTGCATATTTTTAACGAGAACATTTAAATAGTTAAAAAAATATAGCAAATACCTGATATTGATTTGTAAAATAATTCGTTTAATTATTCAATAGGAGGAAGTTTTGTATAACACATCCTTCTATTAGTTATTGTAATATAATAATAATAATGTATATCCGACATATCTGACAATATTGCTGAATATAATGACATGGCTTTGAAAACCGAAATTATCATGTATGGTGTAACAAAAATGATATCGCGATAATATAATATATAAAATATTTGCAGCAAAATTTCTTTATATCTTAAAATACTGAAGTTTGCACAATTAGCTGTCTTATTTTATTTGTGCTGATTTATAAGAATTTGGTATTACACACAAATAAAAATAAAAAATAAAGGTAGAAGCAACAAGTAAAAAATAAAAATGAAAATAAAAGGATGTTTAATTCTCCCAAATTTAATACCCCCGACGTGAGTTTTTATTTTCTTTATCCTATAAATATTGAATCATATTGCATAATATTAATTATTGGGCATCACCCTAGTAGCACAATATAGTGGCGCAATATTGGGAGATAATATAAATCTAGTATTTTAAATGTCAGTCCAATGTTGGATAGTAACTAACGTGTCTATTTAGCAATATTGGTTTAATATTGTATTAATATTAGACCACTATTCTAATTACATTGTTAAATATTGGTCAGTGCACTGTTTGTAGTTGAACATTGTATATTTTTAGGAATTTGTATACATGCAAAGAAGTAATTGTATGCACAACGTCAATTTAAAATAAAAAGTAATTTATCACTCACTGATACGATTCGCGACAGCAGAGTTGTACATCGTCAACTGTATATGTCAAACTGTAAAAATACAAATATGTATATGATTATTATAAAGTAATTATGTAAAATCGAAATTATTTTATTACATATTTTTTATATTTTATATCTTGCAAAATAGGTATTTATTTCAATAATTATACAACACTCAAAAAGTCTTCCTTTTAAATATAGACTAACAAAATTTTATACGTATGGTTTTGTCTCTAACACTTATTCGAATCTTCGTCCGAATCATTTGAATAAATAAAGTAAAAACATAGAACAGATGCTTTATTTTGTACAAGTAGCAAATAACATAAGAAGGTAAGACACTTACCTCACCATTTCTCCGTCGTTGCCCGATGCCTCCTTGGCCACCTCCTCCTCTGAGATTTCCTTGTGGCACTCACACAACACTCACTCGCGATAATCACCGATCGCGCGAAATTTCGGACACTCCCGTACGCGATGTGAGATACCGCGAAACGCACGAAATATGAGTAACAAATATCGCGTGACTTTCTGTCATACAAATTACTCAAACCAACAACTTGCATTTTTGATTCGGAAGAATGGATAAATCACTTTTGAATTGACGATATAAAACGCAACGCGAGCATCGGAAGCATAATCTGCGGTAAAGAAGTAGTTATTAGTCCGCAACGAGACGATATTTTACAATCTTTGTCATTCAGTCTAATCCTCGAAATAAATTATGCGAGCGAAGTTTCCAGCGATAAATAGGTGTTATTAATTGCAACAGTTAATCAAGATAATTTTCGATTACATTTACATAATGTAACAACGTGCGATAAGCGACTTTCTTTACTTTCCGCCCGTACGAGTCGCTAAAAAGGACAGAGCGAATTACAGCGCGAATGCCGAAGTCGCATAAATTTCTCTTTTTTCCAGAAAATCGAACAGATTACACGAAACCGATAGATAATTAAAAGTGCGGTGCGTAAACGAAATGTAACCGCGACAAAGTACCACGGTTAGATGAGTTAGTCTCGTGAAATATCTATAATATATGCGTTGATAAAGAGCCGTCGCCTCAACATGCAATTCGTTTCTCATTACAAGTTGTAGAAAGTTAATAATTAATCGAGGAACGTTACTTGTTACTGATAAAGGTGTGCAAATCAATAGCGATTTATCCCTGCATTCATCGCGATCGAGTCTTGGAAAACGATAACACAAAAGTAATACCACGCACGGAGCGACTCCCGCCACTGCTTGCCGGCTCGGCGTTCGGCGAGCGAATGAGAGCGCGTCGACCTTCAGGTAAACATTGGCCCGCGTAACGTCGTACGATACCGCGCCGAGTGAAAAACAACAAAAAAACGTTGAGAATTCGTTGTCCCGCCTACGTAATGGAAAATTCCGTACTTAATAATTTACGTTACTTTGTTCCGTGACTGTTACTACGTTTTGTGTATTATTCTGCGGACTTATTGGTATTGATTAAATTAACGATTAATTCTGTTCAATCGAGACTATGTTTCGAAACAAAAATCGTTGTTACTTAAATTCTAATTACTAAGATTAGACATTTTACCTCGATATATATTTCAAACATGTATATTTCTAAATTGCAAATCTTTATTTACTACGAATCTAAAAGAGAAGCGAAGCACACCGCGCTTCGAGAAAACCAATCGGCATCGTGGAAAAATTGCCTCAACTGTTCGATATTAACGACGCTCGCGCTAGTAATGTCTCTTTTTCTACAAAGGGAATAATTCAACTGCTGATTTGATATTTTAATTTTCATTGCAAGAAAGCAACTGTAAAGTAACGATTCGTTACTTTTCGCGTAACTGTAAAGCCTCGTCCACATAGAAGTCTTAAAGTCGTAGTCGTAAGAATAATCGACTGCGATTGGTCAATTCTTACTTTGCGACTGCTCAAGCGACCATCGATACAACTGTACGACCATTGTAGACAGAACCGAGAATCATTGTAGCGGAGGCTTTATGGAGTCTACAATGCGAATCGCAGAGTCGTAGTCGTAAAAATAATCGACTGCGATTGGTCAATTCCGTTGGACACATAAGAATTGACCAATCGTAGTCGATTATTCTTACGACTACGACTCTGCGACTCGCATTGTAAACGCTGCATTACTTTAACACGTTACTTTTCAGAATTGGTGACTCGTAACTGTAACTACAGTTACATTTTTAGCGAAAAAAAGCTGCGACTGTAACTAGACACTTTTATACAGTAACTTTCCCAGCCCCGATAACATTACATTTATAAATTACCTCTCAATATTGCGCCGATACTTTGTACTACAAAAAGAACCGTAATGATATCCGGTACAAGCCGGGGCTAGGAGCAATCTCGCGCGAGCAATGCTAGAACTAAGTAATTTTCCGGCGAATATCGTCAGATAATCGTACGACAAGATTCAATCCTGTCGCCGGGCAAACGGTACCGTGCAATTTTACTCACAGAAGACTGCCGGGCGGAAACATACAGGATCTTCCGCGAAGAATCGCTCGTGTCGCGGGTTGACGTTGATGCCGTTGATACCGTACCACCGCTGCGCAAGCGCCATCGCCGCTGCGCAAGCGCCATCACTGCCGCGCATGCGCGAAAAACTCAATCACCTGCCAGCACACCGATCCGACCGCGCGGCACCACATGTTGACGGTAAAATGGCTCTGCCCGTGCCCTGCGTCGCTGGTAAGCATTTTCTCTCGACATTCGCGCGGACACGCGAGCGACTGTCGATCGCCAGATCGCGAGGCACCCGACGAGGAACTCGCTAACGAGGGACGCGCGCCGCCGCATGGGCGAACGTCCGACCGGGGGTCGCTCGCTGCAGCAACACCGTGCTCGCGGCGAACGTGTTCGAACGTGCGTGCCTCCGACGGCTCGGGATTATTCGCGACGGCAACGGCGTACGACGCTTATCGTCGTTGCAGATTACACGAGCCGTGAAACGGTACCGCGAGACGTATTTACCACGAGATTCGGTATTCTAACCTCTAACCTGCTGACGTGCGCGTGTGTGTGTGTACGCTCTCAAACGTCACCGCCGTGGCGAGGTCTGCGGGAGCGATAACGGTGGGAAGAAAGAAACGTCAAAATGTATACATTGTCGTGCGTCCCTCGGAGACAGAGATTCTTCCTTTTTTGTTTAGCTGCGACTTGTTCAATTTACCAGGCGAATACTTAGACACTACCTGATGTACATACATCTAACAGATTGTCTGATGTAATAGACAATTAGACGCGCGATTGTTGTTGTTACGTGCAAGAGAAATATTACTGTATTTTACAGTGAGAGGGTCCAATGGTATAAGTCTGGCGTACGGCCCGCCGTCCTACGAGTCAGTCAAAACATTTCCCAAAGATGACGGCAAGAACTGCAAGGCCATGCTCTTTAGTCCGGACGGCCAGTACTTTGCGTGGTCCAACGCGTCTAAGGTTACTGTCGTGCTGTGCAAGACATGGCAGATCGTCACGGAAATACAACGGCCTAAGGTCTGCGCTCTGAAATTCTCCAGTTACAGCACTTACCTCGCGACTTGGGAGCCGTCCTTTGGTGAGTGACGCAAAATTTTGTGGGGTACGGGCAAGAATTGTGTCGGTTTCGTTGCGTCCACAATTGGAAACGTTGACGTAATTTCAGTATCGAAAGAGGAGCCTCATGGATCGGAAAATTTCAACATATGGAAGACCGAAACTGGTGAACTAGTCCAGCACATTATCCAGAAGAGGATGGTAGATTGGTAATGTATAGCGCACTGATTATCTCAACCTGCTCCTTAATTAACCCGGTTGCTCTTCTGATTGATGTTAAAATCTTCAGCTCAAGCCAACGGCACACGGTACTATTTTTCCTACTGGATTGCTTACGAGAGCCAATCGGGATGCAGAGTTTTAGATCAGGTGACTTGAAGCCAAGTCCTGGTTGGCTCTCGTAAGCAATCCAGTGGGGAAAAATAGTATCGTGTGCCGTTGGCTTTAATTAAAATGATGATAAGCAGGAATGAAACAAATCAACTTCATTATTGTAATTGATGCTTCTGTTGTCAAATGTGTATGTGATGCATGAAAATGATTTTTGTTTAAAAAATAGGGAGCCACAATGGTCGAGTGACGAGGCATTCTATGGAGTACTAAAAGGGGGAAATGTACTATTGTACGAAAGTAACAACCTGAATAGATATGTACACAAAATATGCAAGGGCAACATTGCAAAATTTAGCGTAGCGCCTGGTAACGCTCCCTATCATATCCTCTGCTACATGCCAGGTAATTATGCCTGTTTCTAGTGTTGTATTAAGTGTACTGTAAGAATTATTAATTATAATATGAGTATTGGAATATGGAGATTATTTTACATCTTAGAGATGTATATACAACGTAATAATGAAATTACAAAATGTGGCATTCTATGGATAAAAATATGAAAAATCGTTTTCTTAAATTAATTAAACTAATCTTTATGTTTATTTAGTTAGTATATAAAAAATAATGTTTTAACTGTTGATTCAAGTAATTTAGAAATAATACAGTTGCATTGGCTGCTTTCACATTATAGTTTATAAGATGTTTTTCAGTTTTACTTGTGTAATAATAATAATAATGTTTGTTTATTGACCCTTGCGGGGTCAACAAAAACGGACTTCCGCTCCGTTCATAAATTTCAGCCTTAAATATTTTAAACGCTCGCACGAGAGAGAGAGAGAGAGAGAGAATATCATACTTCTCCACATTCATTCTTCCCTCACTCATCCATCCATACCTCCGGACCTCCGTTTCCGCCATATCCTCCACACTTTCCATAGTTTTACTCGTGTATATATGCATTTTACATAAATATAATAAAAATAATGGAACGATTCGAAAATTGTTCTGATTATATATTATTTAATCAAATATCACGGTAGTGTCTCGCGCCAAGCACAAAAAGGAACAATAGGAAGCTACACTCTCCATTTAATATCACTTATTTTACACTTTTCAAATCTTCTTTAACACTTAATTTACATATATTGTTTAATACATGTTATAGAAACTATTAAATATCTTTTAAATAAATAGTCTCCTGATATATAATTTTAGGAAACTCTGGTCAACCTTCCTTCGGAAGATTATTTAAATATCCCAAGTTTGAGATTGGAGAAGCGATTGCTAGCAAAAGTTTTTTCCAAGTAAAATTTGAACATATCTTAATCATTAAATACTAATGTTTTTTTATTTATTTTTATCCACTATCGTGCCTTTTTTAGGCGGACAAAGTTGATATGTATTGGAATCAATGTGGAACAAACGTCTTATTAATGACTAATACAGAAGTTGATAAAACTGGTGCATCGTATTATGGAAAACAGACATTGCATCACCTCAATACAAAAGGAGAGACTACTATGGTTATGCTCAGTAAGTCCAAGCTAAACCATTGGTTTTTACTTAGCATTGAAAGTTTAGAACGTGAGACTAATTCTAAAACAATATTGTAACAGAAATTCTTCCAATTAGGTAAAGAAGGTCCTATACATGCAGTAGAATGGTCTCCCAGAAACACAGAGTTTTGTGTGACGTATGGCTTTATGCCATCTAAAACAACATTGTTTAATTGTAAATGCGAAGCTGTCTTCGAGTTCGGCATGTTGTATAGAAACAGTATATATTACAATCCACGTGGCAATAATATCCTTTTATTATCTTATTTAATAAATCTACACAATTATATTAGGTCTATGCACAAGTTTGTACAGTCGAGTTTGCGAGTCAAAAATTTTATTTTAGGAATTTGTCTGCAAATTTTGCTTTTTATTTTTGTTGCATTTGTATAACTTATTCGACTTTGCGGGCGCGATATGGGAAAACTTTTTTACTTTCGTTCTTTTAGTCGTTTTGCCATCGTTGTTTAAAAGAATCCTGACAAAGTCCACTGTATGCAAATAAAAAGAGAGCAGTAAAACCCAAAAGAAATTTGTCTCACACATGTAGTGAGGGAGTTATGTCAGTAAGCATGTGTGAAATTGGTATGGGCGCTTCTGGAGTGATAATTTTTATTTTGACAAAAAGTAGGTTGATGACTTTTTCACTTTAAATATAGCGACCGACACATTTATTTGCTACCAGAACATTGGTAGAAAATTGTCGAAAGTGATGGAAAATACTTTGGATAAGAAATATTGTAAACTTTTACAAGAATTTGAATTTATCAAAAAACCTTAAACACTTGTGCATAGACCTAATATCAGCTATAATTCAATAGTTTTTAACGAATAGTATTCATAATAGAAAATAACAGTATTTGCTAAAACTCTAAGTTATTCAGTTATGCATTAATTTCCTTGACTACTGTGTACTATTGCTCTTGGCTGGATTTGGCAATCTTAGGAGCGGCATTGAATTATGGGACGTTATTAATAGAAAACTTATTGCCAAAACTGATGCACCAGATACTACACTGTTACAATGGTCGCCAGATGGTGAACATTTCATGACTGCAACTACAGCACCTAGATTACGAATTACTAATGGGTAAATAAATATATATTAGAAGAAAGTAAGCTAGGTTTGAAGATTCATCTGTTATATTAATTAATATGCGAGTTAAATTATTAGATTTAAAATCTGGCATTATACCGGCTCACTAATATATCAACGACCATGGAATAACCAAGAAGAACTTTGGGAAGTTACGTGGCAAAGTTTTCCCTCAAACATTTTCCCACAGAAACCCATTAGTTATAAAGCAGTTGAGGGTATTGTAACTAATCTTAACCAGTCACAAGGTAATAGCCAATTTCCATGATTTTTAAAAATAAAATATTTCTAGACGTGATTTCAAAACAGATGCGACAATTACACTTGTATATTTGTAGCACCAAAAGAAGCATATAGACCACCATGTGCCAGAGGACAAAATATTACCTTTAAATTGCATGATGACCTTGAAGCGCCTTCCAAGTCAACTGACTGTAAGTACACATATGTATGTGAATGCATATGGAAAAATATCTTATTAATAATTTGTTTATTTAATTGAATTTGTAGCCAATCCATCAAAAGCTGCATTGAAAATGAAGAAAAATCGGGAAGCAAAAAAAGCTAAAAAAGAATTGGAGTCTAATAATCCTACTGTCAATGAACATGTCACAAGTACAACAAGCATAAAAATGGAATTGACTGATGATCCTGAAAAAAATAAAAAAATAAAGAAACTAACGAGCGTGAGTATATCACTTAAGTACCTAATTGTTTTTCTTAAAACGTTTCTTCTTCTATCTCTTACATTATTATTGGATTAACAATTTCATTTTTGTCATACAGAAATTAGATCAAATTTCTAAATTGAAAGAGCAATTAAAAGCGGGAAAACAATTAGAAATCAATCAATTAGACAAGATTAAAAAGGAGGATGAGTTGCTAAAAGAACTGGAAGAACTTACTTTATGATGGATCATTCAAGTGTCAAACAGAATGAACTTGATAAACAGAAAAAAAAACTGTGACATAACTTTCTCGAAATAAAGTGTTTGCAAGAGACAAGTGTGAAAATCAAATCGTTCATCTCTGCAACTCGTAAAGAAAACGGCGAGATCATGCGAGAGATTTTGGATACGATCAAGCTCGGAATCTCTCTTGTCCAGGTATCAGTGAATACTGAATCCAAGAATTGTGTTCGTACGCATAAATAAGATGTTATATTAATTTTAATCAACACAGAATTCTGCTAATAGTACTGTATTCAGTATTATTAGGGGACTACTTATGTACTTCCTGATTTTGTTATACTAATATAAATTGAGGGATAATAGTGGAGATAGCTGCAGTGTGCACTACCAATCTTAACCAAAAATCTTGAACCATTGTGTACATTCAAATTATTATCAAATTAATGAAATCTGCTTGTTGATTAGCTGAAAGTTCGCTACTAAAAAATATTGAAAATTTATCATATCTTTTCTGGCAAAAGATGTGATAGTGCGTTGCCAACAGTACTACTGTTATCACAATTTGTTCTTTCTCTTTCATCTCTTTCTGTGAAAAATTAATTCTAGGATTTGTATCGCATAACAAATATGTTACAGTAGTTGAGTTTGCATTTAAATGCCTTGTTCTTCTTGCATTAATAAAAGCATTACATAACGTAGCCGTTTTTAATCGAAACATGTAATGTTCAGATAAAGACGTCGGCTACCAGAAACTTTTGTATACTTAAAGTTTATTTCAATATATATTTTCATTTTTATTATATACTGTAAAGCCAGTTCTTTTCTATGCGCGATATGTTTACTCAAATTGCAATCTTTTTGCATTATATCAATATTGGAATACAAATTTCTCCTGTATTTTTCAACATCTATGGACATAAGCACAATTAGTGTAATTGTACGTATTATTAAGTATAAATTAAGTATAAGTAAACTGGGACATTTTTTCCAAAATGACGAAATCTATTTAGAATGAACTATACTTGGAGAATACAATAAGAACTGTGTATCGATAAGAAAACCCATTACTATATAGACGGGAATAGTAATTACGAATGTTATTGTACAGTGACATGAGATTTATGGAAATAAATTCTTAAAGAAATTGTTGATTGAGTATCAGTGAGACATGCCCTACTCAATTTTTAAAAAAATAGAATAAAGTATAAGAACGCTCTGTATCTCGGAAACCTACTTCACGAAGCGTCGCGTATTCGACTTTACTTTTCAATATAAGAATGATAGTTTATATTCGCGCGAGTTGCTTCCGCTACAAAGAGGCAAGAATTATATGAGAAAATAATTCGCGCGAACGACGCACCGTAAGAATTAAAATAGCGTATATATCGGGAATGAGTTTTCGTTCGCACTTTCTACATTTTTCTCTCTATTAAAATATCCTTATATTCCACATACAAAAGTGTTGTGAAAGCTACGAGAATAAGAATAGAAGTTTCTTTTGTCTCGTTCTCCATTTCGTAATTGTAAAACGTGGACAAAGTACAGTAAGAAAAGATAACAGAATAATTGTTCCTCGTAAGACGACCTCGACCAAAGTTTGATTACCCTGATAGATGAATAATACCAGTGCTTGAAGCAAAATTTTAATATTTATAATTCGTCGTATTTAATCTTATCTTTTCATCTGCCAAACTACAAAAAGTTAGTAATTTTATCCACGGTGGTAAACTATTGGGCGACTTGAGAAATATCTAGGCTGATTTAAGCCCTTTTAGAAATTGACCAATCACATGAATATGAATCACATGGATAAATCATGAATAAAATAATTAATTTCTTGTTTAATACACGAAAAGAAAGATTAGATTAGGAACAACGAATTATACAGGGTGGCCCAGTTCAATGTTCCACCCCGAATAACTTGTATGTGAATTCTGTGTATGTTACAATACACAAAAATTTTCAACAATTGGAGCACTATTGCAACAGCACATTTCTGAGACCAAATCAAGTAAGAAAAGTCCTGCGCTACTTCTCCCTCCGACAAACGGTTATCGAGATATCATAAGTTAAACGTTGAAAAAGTTATAAATTTTCTCTTGAATATCACAAAAAGTATTAGGCAAATCGAAAAGTGTTTCGGACAAAAGTTATTCATATTAATTAGCAGAATAAGACAGTATAATAAACAATAGGGGGTGCCGTTAAAAAAATTGAAGGTGACCTTCACGTGACCTTCAAGCAACTCGCCAGGGTCAAACCAACGGCACCATCTTATGTCCCCCCTCGAACCAAACAGCTTTTGTCTGAAACGTTTTTCTCTGCGATCAAAAATAAAAAGAGTTACTTGCAGCGGGACATAAAATTGGGACACCCTGTATAGCTGGAAATTTTGCCGATTGCACCGATCACGTTGATCGGAATTTGATCCAAGTGCCGCGTTGCTCCGCTTGCTCGAAAAGCCGCGTCCAAGTGCGGGAGGAAACGACGCGGTACAACAAAGGAGACGTTCAACGTTCGCGGTCGCCGCGCCGTTTGAATGTTCCCGCGGCGCCGACGGCGGCCGACGGGCCGGGCATCGGCGACGGTCGGCGACGTACGGCGCGACCGGGGGCCGCGGGCCAATCGCGGGCGTCGCTCGTCACCCCGTCGTGCACGCACGTCGTCTCGGGCGAGCACCGCAGCGCCGCGGCAGTCGTGTTTACAGATTTTGCCAGTTGAGTTCCGTAACGTCACGTCAAAAAAGTGCAACACACGAATTTCTACCACGTTTACTATGTAAAGGTGCGTTCCCCGACGGCGGAGATGCGACGCGCGTACCGCCCGCGGCCCGCGACGTCCGTCCGCGCGGCGTGACGCGGCTCGCGCGACCGCGGCCGGCTATCGGGCCGGAATATCGGCGCTTTTGTTAATACACGGCAGTGCCAATCGTTAGGATAGTCGCCATTTTGTCCGGAGAGGTAGCCCGGTCGGAGGCGAACGGGGCGAAAATAGGCGCTGCCTGGACCGCGAGAGCAGCCGGAGTCGCGTAGGTAGCGAGCCGCGCGTTCCCCGTCGCCGTCGTCGCCCGTCGCCGTTCGTCCGGGCCGCGGCGGGTCGGCGGGTCGCGCCGGCGGTACGCGGCCGACGGCCGCGGAGTTCGTGCCCGTAGTCGCCCGTTGTCCGCCAGTCGGCGGCCCAGCGCCACGCCGATCTCTCGCTCCCGACGGCGCACGACGTGCCCCGTCGGCAGCAACGTGGGCGGACCGAACCCGCCGCCCCGCCGCGTCCCGATTCCCCGCTGCGGACGCGCGCCCCTTCGCGGACGGGGCCGCCGCCGCGCCGGCACGGCCGCTCCCTCGTCGTCGGCTTCCCGACGTCGTTGACAGTTGGCCCGCGCGTCCACGGCCCGTCCGCGCGAGCGACGACGCCGACGGCGACGGCGGCGCCGAGTCGACTCGCGCGCTCCCGAGATTAACAGTCCGCGACGCCGCTCCTGTGCGCCTTTAATTGTCCGCCCGCGTGCCGTCGCGCCGTCCCGTTAAAGCGTCCGAGTCGACGGGATTCCGCGGGCACCGCGGACGCGGCCTGACCCCGCCGGCCGTTCGCGTCGCGAAACTCCACCCGCGCCCGAGTCGCGCCGATTTGTGCGTTGCCCGAGACCCTCCCGAGGACGATAACGATTGCGTTAGTCTTTGGAGTGATTCGCCCTGCCGGCTGTACGTTGGCCCGCGAGCCGTCGCGGGCTGCGACTTCCTCGGGGAAAATTAACGCTTACATAACTGTGTCATCGCATTGACGTGACAAATTTGCATTCTCGCGTGGATCGCTCGGGCCGCGAATTGAACTTGACCGACTGCCGTCGTTACCTCGCGTATGCCCGGGGACGCTAAAATATCTCTTTCCTTTGTTACAGATAATGTAGGTATAGTTTATTAAAACAAGGCCTTTAGGATATAATTATATTTAATGTCAGTATATAAGCTGGATGCTTGTTATTGGTGGTGTAATCATTGGACCAAGGGATATTGAGACAATTAAGGCATAGCAAACAACGTGGAAAATGACGATCGCCACTAGGGGCCAGGGAGTTGGCATAGACCCTCCCGACAGCCAGCAAAACACGCAGGTACGCAGATATTTAAATGCCAGCCGCGCGTTTGGTCGCGTGATAAACGGACTGAGACAGAAAAGACATGTCTGCGCAGATGCACAGTCCACCTGGTCCGCAGCAATTGGCTGACACGATGTCGGGGCTCCAACTCACCGAGAATGTGGTACAAACGGAATGCAACAGCGACGCTATCAGTACAGTAGAAGATAGCAACCAGCTTCATGAAGAGCCTGAGTTTCCTATTTTCAAACTTAATATGCTTCATGAGAAGATATCTAGTCCACGATGGGTTGTACCAGTTTTACCCGAACAAGAATTAGAGTGCCTGTTACAAGCCAGTATCGAACTTTGTAAAAAAGGTTACGTATTGTCGATGCACATCTCCGAGGCGGTTGCTCCTACGAGCACGCGTCGGGAAAACGACTTTTGCCTTCGTGACCAATGTATTTACGCGGGGCATCCAAACAACACACGTGTCCAAAAGACGCCTTTAAGGATGTATCGGACCTATCTTCAAAATAGCACAAAAGTCGCTAAAAATTTGTGAAATTGTTCTTTTAGTCTTCCTAATGTGCTGCAGAAAAGTAAAAATGCATCCACTAAACGGTTGCTGAGATACAACTATTTTAATTTTCACTGATTTTACACGTACTCTTGTGAAAAGAGCCGATCTTCGCGGATAAAACAGCTAAAAAAAATGTAGAAATAGTACCAGTGTTTTGAATTTTTTTATAAATCTAGTATATCAAGTTTCAATAGTCTTTACTACACCGTTTTAAAGAAATAAAATATAACTTGAGGTATTCGTGCTGTCGGCACGATATGTATTTTGAAATCACATTTGTTTATCAGCGCTGCTGAATAATGTTTTTAGTTTTGAAAATATTTGACGTTATTGAAATCAGGGAATTTTCACTATCAAAAGTTTAGGCTCGTAAGTGAAAAAAATCGCAAATAATGCAGGAAAAAACATTTGTAAAGTGAAAAATGCCTTTGTAGGAGTACAAATAGGACTCCCAACTATCGTTCAAGTTCCTTACATCTAGATTTACGATGCGTTAAGAGTAGATATTCAAGTATTTCCAATTTCATGCACTTTTGTCTGAGATTGTACGTCCAATACACCCTTAAGACGTCCAAGTCGTCTTTTAGATACGTAGAGTCCCCTATTATGAGACAGGCTCCTAATACGAGACAGCGGAGTTTCCGCTGAATTAAGAGAAAATTGATCGTTCAATCGTGTCGTCGTTGCAAAAAAAAAGATTTGCGATTGAATTTGGACGTTAAAACCCACTATCGCACCTTAGAATCCTATCTCATAATGGAGGACTTTCCTCTATGTCTAAAAGACGACTTAGAAATGTCTCTTATACACGCGTGCTGTACGGGCAGCTTCATTCCGCGTTTATAAGCCTCGCCAATTTTGCATTTGCCGATATATTGCAGGAATTGATGTACAAAGTGAAGCGTGTCAGCGCTTTTTTCGAGAAGGTCTCACAATCTCTTTTACCAAGATATTAACGGATGATGCGGTAAACAGTTGGAAAGTGAACATTCACAATTGTATTAACACTAACTGCGCACGTTTGGTGGAACTATGTGTCCTGAAATTAGACGAGGACTGGTTTCCTCTTCTTGATTTGCTGGCCATGGTTTTTAATCCTAGTAATAAGTGAGTCGATATATCGTGCCGTCGTTCGCAATCGCGTAAGTGCAAGTTTCCTACGCCAAGCGTTCTAACTCGCTCGACTTCTCTTTCCAGGTTTCACACGGTAAATTCAATAAGAGTTTCAGAAACGGTTCCTCCGGGTAGTGAAATTCCTGATGAGGAACTTTACGCTCGCCCACCAACTGACTCGCGAGCTCCTCGTGGTTGGCTAGTAGATCTTATAAACAGGTATTTTGTCGTGTTTTGCACAAGTACGGGGTGTTTCGCCACGGTATACACTAACGTAAGCTTCGGTTTCAGATTTGGAAGCCTCAATGGATTTGAAATTTTGCTTTCAAGATTTCAGAGTGGACGTAATTTAACAGTGCCAGTTATTTATGCTTTAATCAGACCCTTTGGCTTATGTTACGAATTGTTAACTGTTCACACGATAGTTAAATATCTGATGCCTATTGTTGTGAGTGTATCCTCAATTTGTCATTGTAAATTTATTTGTTATCGTTGGCGGGACGCAAAGCACATTGTTACATTACAGGAAATGGTACCTCTTATTTTGAATAACTTAACCGACGACGAGTTGAAGAAAGAGGCAAAAAACGAATCAAAAAACGATGCAATATCAGCCATAATCAAAGCTGCTAAATGCTTGGTGTCACGCGTACCTCATCAGGAAGAGATGATAAAGAACTTGGAAATACTGAGACTGAAAATGATATTGAGACTCCTACAAATTTCTTCGTTCAATGGAAAGATGAATGCTTTAAATGAAGTTAACAAAGTAATATCTAGCGTTAGTTATCACCAACACCGTAATACAATAGCAGAGGAGGAGGAGTGGCTCACAGCAGAGCGTATGGCGGTGAGTCTCGTTTAAAAATCCATAATGCTAATTGTCCTAATAACATTTTTGACGCAATGGCCTTTCAAGGCATACATTTAACAAGTGCACCATATTAACTGCTTCGGTATTTTGCAAATGTTATCGTGAATTGTGTTGTGAATTTTGCAAAGTAAGAGAGTGCTTTTATTTCTGATACAGAAATGGATTAAAGACAATGGGGTATTGGAGATCGTGCTGAGGGATTCGTTGCATCAACCACAATATGTAGAGAAACTGGAGAAAATTTTACGTTTTATCATAAAAGAACGTGCACTTACATTAGAAGACTTAGACGCTGTTTGGGCTGCACAGGCTGGTAAACACGAGGCAATTGTGAAGAACGTTCATGACTTATTAGCCAAATTAGCTTGGGACTTTAGTCCTGAACAACTTGATCATCTGTTTGAGTGTTTTCAGGTATCTGTCGCAGTGACGATCGTGTAATGATATTGATATCAAATTTATATCAAATAGAATGTTTACATTGATGAAATGCGCTGTTGTTTCAGACAAGTTGGAGGACTGCCAACAAGAAACAACGGGAAAAGCTATTAGAATTGATCAGGAGACTCGCGGAAGATGATAAGGACGGTGTTATGGCGCACAAGGTTAGATTATCTTAAATACACACTCAGTGCACAAACATATTTTAGAGCTGCAAATGATTTCATTAATTCTACCGCCAGGTGTTAACACTCTTCTGGACTTTGGCACATTCTGACGAAGTCCCTACAGAGATCATGGATCAGGCACTGAACGCTCATGTGAAAATTCTCGATTACTCATGCTCGCAAGAGAGAGATGCGCAAAAGGCAATCTGGGTGGACAAGTGCGTTGAGGAATTGAAAAATGGTGATAAGTGGGCCCTCCCTGCGTTGAAGCAAATTCGAGAAATATGTTGCCTTTATGAACCAAATCCCAACATAGGTCATAGTCAACGTAGCCATCATTTGCATTACAGGTACAATAGCACATTAATCGCACATGTAAATGCACATGAAAATATACGTGTGTGTATTGCTACATTAATTTTGCCCTTTATCGTTCCTACGTAGGCAAGAAGTAATAGAGCGTCTACAGAGTGAACATTCGGTAGTAATTCTTGTAACAAATAGCTTAACAAATTATATGGATAAAGTGCGGCAATTGGTGAAGGAAAATCCTGAAATCGACGCAAATACTTTTATGCCCGATGGCCGATATAATCATATTATGCAAGTGCAAGAGAGATTGAATTTCTTACGTTTCTTATTGAAGGTACGTTCCAAATCTTGGGGCGGGACAATCGTGGATTGCCGCAAAAAAGAAATGCGGATAAACGTAATATGATTTATTTTCATAGGATGGGCAATTGTGGTTATGCGCTGATCAAGCGGAACAAATTTGGCAATGCTTAGCTGAGCAAGGTGTATTTGTTTCGGATCGCGAGGCGTGCTTCAAATGGTTCTCCAAACTTATGGGAGACGAACCGGATTTGGACCCAGCAATAAACAAGGATTTTTTTCAAAACAATATACTGCAATTAGACCCGACATTGCTTACAGAAAGCGGTATTAAATGTTATGAGAGATTTTTTAAAGCTGTTAATTCTAAGGAAGGAAAATTAAAACTGAAACGTAGAACATTTCTCATGGATGATGTGGATTTAATTGGAACTGATTATTTGTGGAGAGTATGTAGTATTACATCTGTTTATTTCTTTGATTATATAATTTTATAGGACTTGCGTCTATCCATTTTTCATTGCGTGTGCATATTTGTACAGTGATACAGTGTACAGTGACCTTTCCTATCTGCAGGTAGTGACAAACAGCCCGGAAGAAATTGCAAACAGAGGTATAGAGCTCTTGAAAGAGGTGAACACCAATTTAGGGCCGCGACTGCAGTCGTCGGTTTTAGCATTTCATGAAACTCACATAGCGGAATGTATGGACAGATTGAAAGCACATTATGATACCGTGACTGTTTTGAGCAGAGTATATCTGGACGGGAAGGAGGAGTGTGAAGAACAAATGACAAATAAGATTAAAATGGAAGCCGTAAAAATGTGTCGCGTTATGAAAGTTTTACAGGAATACATAAACGAGTGTGACACAGCTTTTCCGGGGGAACGGAAAATATTGCCGTTGCACAGGTAAACTTGCGATTGCGTGCATCACCGAGAAATCCTTCTTTCGTACGCGCGGTGATAGCGCAACACTTATTCTGATTACAGAGCAGCTCGTGGCAAGCATCTCTCACTTGTTATTCGTTTTGCGAGTCCTGGTCGAAACGTCGACGACATAGATATCTTTACCCACAGTAATGACACTTTAGCTTCATTGAGACGTCAAATATTACGCAGGATCAAAGCAAGCGGGACAAACGTGAAGCTCGATTTATTTATTAATGGAGAGGCGCTGGAACAATCCGATGATAGGAAACTTCTCTCTCAGATTCCACTGAGGGACAAGATGGTGAGTATAGATAGAAGGAAAGCTGTGGGCGCAAAAAGGTCCGATGTGTAAAGAGTCAATGAGTACGATTTGGGTTTATGTTTACAGTTATTGTCTGCGAAGCTCAGTCAAGTAAATAGCAATATGCCAAGCTCACCGGATAGTAGCTCTGATAGCTCTACCAGTTCTCCGCATCATCCATACGACGGGCCGAGTGTAGAGGCAGAGAATAGTTTGCCTGGTGTGGTAAGTATAATGTAAAATTCATAAATTCAGTCAATTATATCGCGCCTTGCGCTCGTTCTAACCGCGCGACTTCGTTTCAGGTAATGTCGCAAAGATCGCAGTATGCGACATTTTTCTTTCAATTAGCAGATCTTGGCTGTACTCTTCAGCACTCGCAATTGCGCGACGGTGCACGAAATCTCTTGCAATTAGTGCCGCCAGATACCTTCACTGTAACAAGATTACAGTGGCTATTTGGCCATTACAAAGACGACGAAGCTTTACAGAACCCTTCTCAATATCACTGTAACGAGCAGAATACAACAGTAGATTCTCTATTTTTTACTGCAAGTCCTAGCCAAGTTTTATACAATTTAGAGGTAAATGCACGTTGAATAGCGCTTGACAACTTTTACCCTTTTGCTCTATCAATAACAATTGTCTTTGTTGTTGTTTTTTTTAGGTGTTATACACTTTGTTAATGCCAGCTCTCGACCCTATGTCGGAGAGAGCATTTGAATTTCAATATAATTTCATAAAGAACGGCGAAGCGGGCGTTATCCTTGATATGCTAACCAAAAATAAGTTTTTACCAAATGCGGACGAAACCACGAAGCGGTCTGCGTATCTAACTGTGCTGAGACTGTGTAAGCTTCTTCTGACAGTGATGGGTAACGTGATGGCGTGCGTGATGGACGAGGTTCAGCAAACTGGAACCTCGGAGAATCACGACAACCACGTTAATAATCGCAGTCGGGTGACGGTATTGAAACAGGCTCTCCAAAGTGTACCGAATCAAAGTACCGAATACATGTTGAGGAGTGTGGCAGCCAAGCTGGCACAGCATCTGGCGCATCGAATGCTATCCGGCGGGCCCGAGGCTGATCGATGTCGGCAGCTTTTTGTGCAGGCCCTTTCATGGGAATTACCGGATGTGGCTACTATACGTGCCATAATTAGACTAGCGTGGGCCGCATCCACGGGTAACTTGAACAACACTAACGCATCGAACGAGTTACTGCACTCAATGCACGAGACCAACCAAAAAGAACAGAGAAATCCCGATAATAACGACGTCCTTGTGTGCAAGGAAGCACTTGAGGTATTGACAATCGCCCTCGTACTGAACCCGTCGGCGTTAGAAACCTTATCGAGAGACAAAATATGGCATACTTTCTTGATAGACCTTGTGCTACTTAGTACATCGAGGGCCATCAGGATCGCCGCCGGCGAACAATTTTTTCTCATATCGACGTGGTGCAGCGGCGGGCATCAAACACTACTGGTCACAATAACTCTCCTCTTCACCGTTTTGAACAACACCGTTATGGAGAACGCGAAACAGAGCCACGAATACTTTCAGCTATTGTGCCGACTTTTGAACTTCGCCCACATGTCAGGTTGTCCCCTCACGACCGCGGAGACGCTACTGAATGTCGAAATAGCCTGGTTGAAGAAAGTTCGGGACAACGTGAAGGAGACCGGTGAGAGTCAGGTGGACGAAGCCTTGCTCGAGGGTCACCTCGGTTTAACGAAAGAACTGCTGGCCTTCCTGCCACCGAACCAGAAATACGAGATCGGTTCTGACGAGAAGCACGGGGTTAACTTGATCAAGGAACTGGTCGAGGACTTTGTGTTCCCGGCGTCTCGCCTCATGCTGCAGCTCCGCAGCACCGGCGAGCTCAGCGCGTCGCAGGCGTGTCCGGTGTGCACCACTCCTCAATCAACCAGCGCTGCGTTCGACTTACTCGTAGGTCTTTGCGTAGGCTGTGTACCCAACATGAAACTTCTAGTCACAATGCTCACCGACATGTTCTACTCCGAGAAGGACGAACCGTTAGTGGAATGGGATTACTTACCGCCTGTGGGGCTCAGGCCCCTTAAAGGCTTCGTAGGCTTGAAGAATGCAGGGGCGACCTGCTACATGAATTCAGTATTACAGCAATTGTATATGGTGGAAAGCATTAGGGTCGGACTCTTGGCGGCGGAAGGCGCGGCGACTGATCTGAACGAGGATTTTTCGGGCGAGGAGAGGATCGAAGGGGAGCAGACAATCGAAACAAATGATAACGACACGAACGAAGAAAAGTGCGGTGCCGATGAATCCAGGAAGGAATATAACATCGGCATCTTGAAACAAGTACAAGCAATATTCGGTCATCTGGCTTACAGCAAGTTACAATATTACATACCTAGAGGACTGTGGAAGCACTTCAAGTAAGAACAAATACAGTTTTATTTGTGAAAATAAAAGTTCCCAAGGTAATAATACGTTTGCGAGAGAAAGGAAGAGAAAAATCTCGCAAAATACAATTTTCTTAATATTGTGCTATTATATTCTGCGTTTTATATAATGAGGAAATTCGATTTTCCCAGGCTTCAAGGAGAACCTGTAAATCTTAGAGAACAACAAGATGCAGTAGAGTTCTTCATGAGTCTAGTGGAGAGCTTAGATGAGGCATTAAAAGCCTTGGGACACGAGCAGATAATGGGCAAGATTCTTGGTGGCTCATACAGCGACCAAAAAATCTGCAAAGGTTGCCCTCATAGGTACCTTTTTAGTTCTTACATTCTACTTTCTTCGGTAAACTGTAATACCACATTACATTATCTTCAGATATTCCAAAGAGGAGCCATTCAGCGTGATAAGCGTGGACATACGGAATCACAGTAATTTATTGGATTCTCTTGAGCAATACGTGAAGGGAGAATTGCTCGAGGGTGCGGATGCCTACCATTGTGATAAGTGCAACAAAAAGGTATGATTACAATAATACAGCCTTGCAAATGTATTTTAAAAAAATCTTTATCATAAGGTAATAAGGAGAGTGAAAGTAATTGTTTCAAAAAGTATACAATGAAAAACATTTGTCAGTAATATTATTTCGTAATTCACATTTCTCACACACACACACACACACACACACATTCTATACAAGCCACAAAGCAGCATTTCGCTTGATCAGAGATTTTACGTGTCCCTTTTATGTTTAGGTCGTAACCGTAAAGAGATTGTGCGTAAAAAAGTTGCCGCCTATATTAGCAATTCAATTGAAAAGATTCGAGTATGACTTCGAGCGTGTATGTGCTATAAAATTCAACGATTACTTTGAGTTTCCGCGAGATCTGGATATGGAGCCTTACACCGTCTCCGGTTTAGCTAAATTGGAAGGAGAAGTCATAGACTGTGATTACGAGGAATCTGTAAAAGGAACGTGTACCAAGTATCAACTGACTGGTATTGTCGTTCACAGTGGTCAAGCCAGCGGTGGCCATTACTATTCTTACATCCTGCACAGGTAAGATAAACGTACGAAATACTTGTGCAAAACTGGCAAGTTAAACTATTTTTATTCAATAATAAATTTGCAGACTAAACGACGGAACGGCAAAATGGTACAAGTTCGATGATGGCGATGTAACTGAGTGCAAAATGGAAGAAGAGGAAGAGATGAAGTCCCAATGTTTCGGCGGCGATTATTTAGGGGAGGTGTTCGATCATATGCTCAAGCGGATGAGTTACCGCAAACAGAAGCGATGGTGGAATGCGTATATGCTATTTTATACAAGACTAGATGTAGAAGAAAATTCTCTAATGAAGAGTGTAAATGAACTGTCATTGTGTAAGTGTTGATTTAAAATTTTCCACGAAATTAGTTCCGACGACCGTGTCGCCTCATTGTCTGCTCGTACTTTTCAGATACGAAACTAGGAGTTATGAAAATGCCACCAGCGATAGAATACAGCGTGCGAAAGCAAAATATAAAATTTATGCACAATCGAAATCAATTTAGTGCTGAATACTTCCAGTTCATCAAGAAATTGGTGTCCTGCAATCCTCATAATATCAACCGGCAAAATCTGAATGAGAAACTTGTGAGTTTGTTACACGTGTAAGATGTGTAGTTTTTTTTTTAACAGAACCTTGCTTTCAATAATCGTGACAATTGTATTGTAGAGCCCTGAAGCCGAAGAACTTGCGATGCTATCGGTTCAATTGGCGTCAAGATTTCTCTTCTACACAGGTTTTCACACCAAGAAAACGTTACGTGGTACGGCAACAGACTGGTATGACATTGTGTGTCATCACCTGCGCAGCAGTAAAGCAGTACGTTCTTGGTTCGCCAATGAAGTGCTGTTCAATCATCCACATAGGTATCAGATATTTTTCTAAATGCGCAATGCGTAAAAATACTTGCGTCTTTTTAATAAGTCATCTCCGTAGATTTTGCGAATACCTCTTGAGTTGTCCCAGTACGGAGGTGCGCACTGCTTTCCTCAAAATCTTAGTATTCCTCGCACACGTTTCTCTGCAAGATGGCCCTTGCGCTCCACCCAGTTTGAACGCACCGAGTGAGTACTGAAATACGCATAGAGAGATTCAGCGATACGATTAAAATGGCATGCACTTGATAATCTTTTCAATTTGCCAATATTTTTAGCTATACTCTTGGACCCAGTAGCGACGCTCAGTGATCACTTGTTACACGCGGTACTGTCGCTGCTGCATCGTGAAATTTCAGATCACGGACGTCATCTTCCTCATTATTTTTCCCTCTTTCATGCGTATGCTTCGCTTGGTCTTTCCGAAAAGGCACAGCTGCTTAAGGTAATAAACGACATTACATAATTACATTAGCATTATCTTCATGTCTAGAAAACTAGAACATGTCCGACTTTAATGATTTTTTAATATTATTTGCAGCTAAATGTTCCGGTTACGTTTATGTTAGTCGCCATCGACGAAGGCCCAGGTCCTACCATAAAATATCAGTACCCGGAATTGACTAAACTTCACCAGGTAGTTAGCATGCTAATACGATGCTGCGACGTGTCGTCGAAGGTGCACTCGAGTCAGCAGCCCCGCGGGGAACCCTTACCGAATCCATATGGGGATCCCGCGTGTCAGTCAGAGTATCTCATGCCCATCCAATCGCAAGCAGCGGATATATTGTTTATTCGTACCAGGTGAGGATTGGCAGTGAGCTTTGAATTCCGGAGATGTAACGTGAGTTTTTCCATTTGATATTATATTTGACTTTTATATTATTCTGTTTGTTGGAATAGTTACATTAAGAAATTGATTGAGGACGCCAATATAACTGAGGACACAGTTAAACTATTGCAATATTGTTGTTGGGAGAATCCACACTTGTCGCGAACAGTGCTCAGTGAACTGCTCTGGCAAATAGGATTTGCTTACACCCACGAGTTGAGGCACCATACGGATCTGCTGCTTGCGATACTATTGATGGAGGACTCGTGGCAGACGCATCGCGTGCATAATGCACTTAAGGGTAAGTGCGAACAAAACGCTCATTCGTGTATTTACTCGTTAGCATGAAATATACATGAGATTTGCACGAGATTACACGAGACTGTACCTTCTAGGAGTTCCCGATGAGCGAGAAGGTTTATTCGAAACGATACAAAGAAGTAAAAACCATTATCAGAAAAGGGCTTATCAGTGTATTAAATGTATGGTGCAGCTCTTTAGTAAATGCAGACCAGCGCATCAGCTTTTGCATCATAGCCCGGAGTTGAAAAGAAAGTGGAGTTACGCCATAGACTGGCTCCACGACGAACTCGACAAAGTATGTAGCGGAAACTGGGCTATTAATCCATTCAGTGTTAGGATAATTACAAATGTATAATAAATCATTTTTAGAGACCATATGCCTCTACGGCGCCTTATACACACGCGTACAACAATTGGTCACCACCAACACAGTCCAATGATTCTGCAAACGGCTATGTTTTGGAGCGCAGTAACAGCGCAAGAAAGACATTGGAGCGAGCGTGTGAGCTTTGTCCCGAAGAAGAGCCGGAAGTTGAAGACGCGAGCGAAGACTGCGCGGAAGAAGCCGAGAAATATCAGCATACATTTAAATATCAATCTAGCAATCCATCCAAGTATCAAGTCCGAACTAAGAGGCGCAACAATAGAGGCATAGGATGGACACCTGTGGAGTAAGTTGTAACACCGCGATAGATCTTCTCTATATAAATACTTGAGCCAACGGTACACAATACTATTTTCCCCGCTGGGTTACTTACGGGAGCCAATCACAGGATGCAAAGTTTTAGATCAAGTGATTTGAGACTAAATCCTGATTGGTTCTCGTAAGCAATCGAGTATGAAAAATAGTATCGTGTGCCGTTGGCTTTACATGCCTCTGATAACATTGATTGCAAAATATTGCTTGTCTTGAGGAAATGCAAGACTCTGCATATTACAACTTAAAATTTACGAAAAAATTCTTCGTAGATGTTGGATTTTTATTTTTTCATTTGTAAGAGGATTAATCGCATCTATTGTAAATAATACAGTAATTTTGTATCGAACGTGAGCAAATTTAATTTTTAACAATTGCTTTTTTTTTCTTTTTGCAGGTATCCCGATTTTTCCGTGATCCAACAAATGCAAGAAGAACAACAGCCTCAACCGGGACCTTCTCCGGTACACACACCCCACTTAGCGCTTCAAATGCATAATCCGCAAAACTGTGAGTCGTCACAAAATACCAGCCAGGATCCATAATGAACGCTAAATACTGACGTTTTACCAAGTTGCTGCCTCAGTGAAACAATTTCGCGATACTTAGATATTACTGCGCCAGCAGCTTGGTGGCGAACGGTAGCAGCACATGTACAGATATAACAAGTGAGGATTTGTTTTTTTTTTTAGTGATCATTCTTTAACGAACTCATGCTAATCTCTTAGTTTCACTGTGGGTAGTTACTTTGATAATATGACGCGCTATGAATGTTCGAATTGCATTGGAAAAAAAAATGGGAGACGATTCCGACTGAAAAGTAAATTAACGCATGCCGAGGCAATTTCTCAACGATAGTTTCTTTCTCCTTAATCTCGACACCCGTTTGTATCTCCCCCGATGACCATTTGGCTTCCAATTCTAGAAATGGCAATTTGACAAAAAGGAGTAAAAATACGCCGTCTCTTCTCGATCGACCGATAAAGCTAATAGTACAGCTAGGAGTTTCATTTGCCTCGATTAAATGCATGTGGATTCAAGCTTAGGAATACCGTAAGATTGTATAAATGTATAGCGAGTAGTGTGTTATGGAATCCCGTTCTCTGCCGATTAGAAGACAAAAATAAACCATAATTTTCCGTATGCCTATGTAAATTTGTTACTAATAAAAAAAAGAAGGGAAGTTGAAATGGAACTTTCTAACGCTCGAAAGATACAATTACAGAAAGGGGAAATGAGCTAGCACGTTCTCATCTCGTACAGAGAAAGCACGGTTATCGCGAAAGAAAAGCTATGCTCTGACATATACATATATAAAAAATATATATAGCTATGCTATATATGTATACATAGCTTTTGCTATTTAATCTTTTAACAACAATAAAAGAATCTTTCTTGTACTTAATAGTCTCGAGCATTCTGGAAGAAAGACACTTATCGGCGGCCTGCCGCGCTGCTAAATTTCAACATACGCCAATGATGCCTCCTATTGTGCTTTCTTTCAGTTCGACCGATTTGAAAGAGTTGTGCCTTCGACATTGTGCGACTCCCATTGTACTTTTAGGTAGATATTTAAGAATCAAGTTGTTGCTTCAAATTTGATTGCTTATACTTCGCTTGTTGAGTTGACTGTGGAAAAGAAGGGGGAAAAGGAAGCTAAAGGAAACTAGAGCATTACATTGAAAACGCATTGAGATACGACGAGAGACAATTTCGTCGACGGAGAGATCGAATTGGAACGTATTGCGGAGCCCAAAACGAGGTGGGCTACTTTAGTTTATCCTGACGCACGTACACATTAAATACGACATCGAGTTGTCGGATGTATGGACAGCTGCTTAAAAAATTAATGGGACACTGTCCTCATCCGGAGTCCAAATTTTTACGAAGAAAAATGAATTGAACGGTAGTGAGAGAGACGCAAAAAGAGAATGCGGAGCAAACAAATACTAGTTTGTATCGTTGTATGATACGATTCACTCGTTGATAGAGCCGTGATCCTTTCCCAAAAGTTGTGAAAGCGATCATGGCGTATACCGTTTCGGCAATCGTCCGGTATGCTAACGAAGAAACATTCTAGAGGAGAGAACGTGGACTATGCGACGAACGACCCTCGAATTTATCAACTGGCCATAGCTCCGACTTATGAAATAACGTGTGTTATATATAGATATTATATAAAAGTAATCTTTAAAAAGGAAAAGAAATAAAAATGTCACGTGTGTAACATGAAGTAAGCGAGCCGTATGTATACATAAGATTTCGTGCGAAAAACCAACGACTATGTCAAGACACCAGGAAGTAATGACGTATTGATTATTATTGTTCGTATTTATCGAATACCGAGTTAAACAGTGTACCAAATTATATAATAGCTTCTATTGGTTAAACGATAATGGTACCTAATCTTACTCAGATATGTACATATAGACAACCGCTTTTTATATGTGATAAAAAATTATTATATTCCTATTATACATTGAGATTTAGAGAAACACTATTGTAAATCCTGGTTTTTGTACACAGACTGTATGCTAAGTTCACTTTTGTTAACACAAAATGTAGAATAATTATTTAATATTTAATTGTATCACTAAATAAGCGTATAATGTACAATACTTGTACATCTTCTTTCTGATTTTCTTTCTGTATTTTTTTTTCGTTTTTTAAATTACGTCTCCGAGAGATATGGTTCACAAACTGGAAGTGTCATGAATACTAGTGTCATTTATCTTATGCGTGGTAGAGATAAGAGAGACATAGCCGAGCGCATTGTTCTAATTAGTGACAGGTCGACGAAATATAGTTTTCCTTATTTTTTTTGCTATCGATTGAGGTAGTCGCGCTCGGTGTTATCGCGCAAGAAGGAAAGAAACGAGATATGCAAGGGACGGTAGAGATTGCGACGGGATGTCATTTTTCCTGTGCGTACCACAGGGTCACGTCAGAGATTACGATCAGTATATATAATTTCACTGGATTATGGAGAGCAGGCCGAAATCGCCCTTACGAATTCGTTTGCGAAGCTCGAAGGACGAGACCTTTCCTCGTGCACGCGAGAATTTGAACCCGTCGAAATTATACCGATTTCTACAACGCTTGTACATAAAGGAGAGAAAAGAGAAAGGATCGTGCAGCAATGTTTTCACGTGGGACGTATGCGCGGTCCCACTTGGCAGACAAACCGCAAGGAACTGCTGGATTTACGCTGTTTAACGTTGCGTATCGCACAACGGCAGGTAGCCGTCGCGAATTTACGTTCATTTCAGAATACGAGGGTCGTCGAACGAAGAAAGAAAGAAAAATCAAAAGACTCGAAAGGCAAACGCGTGACCTACGACGTGCACTAACGCATGTATCGCATGCGGCACGCACGTGAGACCAGAGTGGTGTTGTTCTCGAGATCGTATGCAGTTATAACTCTCGTCAAACGTAGCGAGGGGCAAAGAGGAAGAGGACGAGGAGAAGGAAGAGGAAAGAGGAAAATGTTCTATCACCGACGTCTCTTTAGTTCTAGTTCTAAAGATAATTTTAATTGTATTCAGCGCGAATGACGCTCTAGTCAGTAAAATTACAAATAAACGAAAGGAGATTAACAGCGCTCGTTCATTTACACACGATCTGCGTGACGTTCTCGAAGCGCCGCGTTCGCCAACGCAAGATCGACAACAAGGGATGCGCCGTCATCAGCGCCGTCTTCAGCGTCGCCCGCTACGATTATTAATTTTGGGAAACGCTTCTCTGCAAACGCGTTCCCCGCACTTTCTCTCATTCGCCTCTGACGTGCGAGGGACTCGTCACTTATATCTACCTCGACGGGCAGTCAGCGTTGTCTACTCCTTCGTCTTGATCCTCGAGCAATCTCGTCTTGCGGAAAGAGGATGCGATCACGCGCGCTCTCCACGCTCAATCATCCTGTCGCTGAAAATTGCGAAGATTAGTATTACGGATTAGTAAAACGTTTCGGTCTTTTCAGGAGAAATTTTCCACCTCCTCCGCGAAGGTCACGGAGGTTCCGTGAACGGAGTGAAGGAACGGAGAGGAAGGGAAGAGCGTCGCTTCTCCGTTTCCGTGCTACTTTCATCGCCGCATCGACACGAACATTCGAGTCGTCGGTATCGCTTAATTTCGTTAGAGTTAGCGTCTAAGAAACGAACGAGATTCGTCGGGCAGACCGCTGGTCACGCTCGGGTCGGCGTTCGGGTCGTGAGACCCCCGCGGGACCAGCGGGTTCAATAATGCTGGTTTCGGAATTTCGTTATTTAGCATCGACCCCGACGCCACGATCCTCAGGCCAGACTTGTGCTCCGCAAATGTAATCCTTACCAAAGTCAGATACCAGAAGCACACGTTTTCTAATGATCGCAACCCTTATTCGCTGGCCATGCGCGCTGTGCACTTGCGTTTCCGCAGGAATACTTCTTCGCACGTGGTTCTTTTGGGGTGCGAGCGTTGGCCGAAGAACGATCGTACCCCTTTTTACATTAATTAATCTAAACGTTAGGTAGTTCACTTCAGAATGCGCGGTCGCGTATCTTCGAAAGCTTTAAGGAGAAGACTGCAAGGAAGAGAGTTATGTCGAGGAGAGGAAAAAGCTCGAATGTGGGAGGCGTATGGAACTGTTTGAAAATGATGAAAGCCCCGGAGGAAGGACCCAACTTGTAATGCACCGAGATATCCTCCCGCCTAAGATCTTTTCCGGCTTGTAATGCGCTTTGCAACACGCGACCTCCGATCTCTAGGGCGGTCTATGCGGAAGAGATATGTTACATAATTTGCGTTCGCGCGTGCATAAACAGGCTTGTCCTGTTGCATGTACTTAGTTTCTACGCTTTCTTCGCACGAAACCAAATACTAGACGCTTTTGCGAGGGAGAAAGAGCGAAAGAAGGAAACTGAGCAAAGACGTGGAAACGCGACGCGAATAGAACCGGCCACGTAACCGAGCCCGAGGCTCTCCCGGGACCGGATCGCGTCGCGGTGAAAGGGTGAAATTTTAGGAGACTCGAGCGCGCTGTATTAATTGCAATTAAAACTACTTATTTTATAAACTGCGATGCTAGTATTTATTTGTGCGCGGTGGACGCCACGCTGAGCGTCTCATTTCTGCGTGATTGTTTAACGCTCGCTCTGTCCCAATGAGATTCTGAATATTGTCATTCCGTTTAACTCAATGCCGCACGCAAGATCTAATTGGACGCGAAACGTAAAACACACATTTGAAACATGAAAAAGTTATAATATCAAAGCGACACGAGATTGTATCATTAATTAGATATTTCGACACTAATGCTGTGAAATGAGATCTGAACCAAGAGGCTGAAACCTCTTCAAGTAATTGAAGCATATTGCGGTATCAAACCGAGCGATTAGCAAACAAAGAGAGCAATTGCAATTATGCGAGGTACAAGATAAATGTAAGGATCTATGCAGGATCGCAATACTAACGTTATCCTGCACACTCACGAGCCGTACACATACACGTGGTGTTCGATAAGAAAGAAAATTGCCAATATTGAAATCAAAATAGAATGTCTAATCGATATGTGTTGAAGAGAAGGTGACGACGCGGAGCTACGGAGAGCTGAAATGGACAGGCAAAACGCGTCAAGGAATGCACTGCATGCGATAACGAGAAGAGATGTTCTCAAGAGACGAGATGGAGATTTACCTGAAAAAGAGATTAACACGAAACCAACGCAAACGACACAAATATACGAGAGACACGTCTCGCGAAAACACCCCAAAGAATCCTCATTCTCGGACAATTTTTCGAAAGACGAGTTCGTACCTCTGTGGTATTGGAATACGAAAGCAGAGAGTACGTTGAATTCTGATTTCCAAAGCTACTCTACATCCTCCATTCAAGTCGCTTGGGGGGTGAGAGAGAAAGAGAGAACATAATTCTAAAAAAATGTTTAGCAAACTTAGTTAATTTTTGGCGTAGCTATAAAATATCGCGGATAAAATGGAATACACTTACGTACCCCAGTGCAGTCTCTCGCTGCTAATACGAACCGAAGCGGTTCTCCAGCGGATTTTGAAGGAGAGCCAGGAAGAACGTCGCAAGTGTGTAAAAGGGAGATTTTTAAGCGTACGTTTTATGTTATTAGAATCTCTTAATGTATATCGCGAACGCGTTTCTTTCAAATAACTAGTTTTACATCTACGTTTTATTTCAATTTAATTTGGCAAGCGTCGTGTATCGACAATCAAACACGTTCTTGCGAGCGGTTCTGCTGGAGCCTCCTCAGTTCTCGTCACGATATAAGATATAAGGACGAACGTTTTCGCGCGAGGAACTTGCAAGGCCCGCGTAAAATTCCCACTCATAATTTCGTCCTCGCGTACTTCTCAGATCCCCGATCGCGTGATCGGGATCTCGTTCCAGGTATACGCGAACGATACAAAAAAAAATCCGGAAGGACGTCTGAAGGGAAAAGGGGACGCGAAATGTGTTGAGATTTAACTAATCCTAAGATAGAATCTAACAGTCTCAGGACGTTGAGATTCGGGCTCCTTCGGGTCCTTCGGGCGTCTTACCGTTGCCATCTAACTCGTGTCAGATCTGGCAAGAGGGAGAGGCGAGGATAGCGAGATTCGCCGTCGACGTGCTGGAACTCTACGAGCAAAAATAAAATGAGAGAATTACAGAGAAGCGCCTCAGGTCGCCATACGCGCTACATATCCGTTAAAAAAAAATGGCGCATTTATGCAGGCATTTTTTATTTAAACACACGTAAAATCGACTCGCCAACCGATCCTGCGACCCTTCCCACGCCGCCGACCCGCGCGATTATTTATGGTCCCTCGCAGACTCTCTTTCGATATACATATTATATATATAAATATATAAATATATAAGTATGATTATAATTATAAGATTGTATATTCTTAATTAGATGATGCAACGTGCTGGCGTGCGCGCGCGCGGTCGCTGGGGTGATTTGAAATAAAAAAAGAAAGAAAACTGCACACGGCCACACACATACGTAACACGTAGTCATGTATACATACAATAAACACACATTACACACACATATACATATACAGAAGTATAGATACGCACGGGGGGTTGCGGGCAACGGTTTGCCAATTCTCGCGGGGGGCTTTCACTTACGAACGGGCGACACCCGCGCGTCTGCGTGTTCCGCAGTGAGGAGACCTCTGCCGCCTCCGGAATCTTTTGTGTATTATTTCTAACAGAATGTAATAAAGTAAAGTTTAAACAGACGATCGTTGCGTCTTCCCTCCCTCCGCGTTTCCCCAGAAATCAACCCAGCATTCCGCTCGCTAGAAATACTGAAGTACTAAAATGTTATCACGTTGAAGACTTAAGGAGGGACTTGGAGGTTTGTATAGTCGAATTGAAGACGAAATTTTTTGCGAAATTTGTTTCAGGAAAGAAAACGATTGGACGCAGTTCTTGGTATTATTTGCTATTTGTGATACAAAAACTTATTATAAACATAGAAGTTTTTTTGCCATTGAAGATAGGAGCGGAAATTTCGATTTGCTTCGCGCTTTTCTACGATTCCATAACTTTTCAGATTTCTATTTTTTTCTTCAGGACACATTGCTCTACAGATTGAATCTAAAGACCATTAAAAAAATGTTATTACAAAGTGATAATTTAAATGTGCAATTTTTATTTTTGCATAAAAAGTTACAATAATAAAACAAAGCAATTTTTATAAACTTCATTGTAGAAGTAAATTCACAAATTTTATCTTCAATTTAACCTCCTGTCCACTCTTGAGCCAATTTTCTGTTAGAAATAGTAGATTCTTGATTTGTCGATCATATTTTATTAATCGATTTTATTGTTTCGTTTTGCATTCTGCCGAAAGAATTTGTAGTAAAACTTGTTAACAAAAGCATTCTTCAAATGGTTACGACAGGTTCTGTAATAAATTTAACAGAACATTTTATTAACAGATTTTATTACATTTCTGAAATTCTGTCGAACAAGTTTTGTAACAGACACTTTGCAAAACTTATTTTCAACAATTCTGAAGCTCGATCATAAATCTTTTCCTCTAACGTGAACTCGTGAAAAATGAAAAATTTCATTGCCGAATATTAAACTCATCAATGAAATTCTCATCAACGAATTTACGCTTCAGGGGAAAAGATTCATAATCGAACTCCTGACTACCTGAATAAGTTTTCGTCGATGACACAAGTTGAAATAGAAGCCAACAATGTTTGCAATAGCTGTCACGATTTTAAAATCCTAAAATAGTCACAACTGTTATTTTAGAATTTTTAGAGTTTTAATATTCTTGAAATTTTTGTTTTTCTCTAAGAATTTCTATTAAACGTTTTCTCTTACAAACATTGCTTAATATAATATCCCATTAAATCTTGCAATCCGTGCTATAATTTTTTTATATAAGAGAAAAGATGATTTTTTAGCTTTTCCTCGAAACATTACTTACCTTTCTTTAAATGGATTTCATGTGCTTTGTATATCGACCCTCGCCCTATTTACAAGCAATTCTAGACTTCTGTCTTCAAAAAATTGTTATACTTTTGGTATTGCCACGCGTTACGCTATTGATTATTATCTCAACAAAAGTCCATTTTCAATAAGCTCAGTAATTCTCAGTTTACCTTGAGTTGAGTTTCTACAATTTTTATCTATAGCCGTAACGAATACACATCGATGGCAGCATACTACTATAATATTAAGCTTGCTAGTAGTGTACCCTTTTCAGTTTAAAAATATGTTTTGAGGACATGTAACATCAAATAATTTGCATTACTTTGAATTATATTATAATATTACATTAAACAATAATTCACTAAGGACGTAGAATATATAATCGTACGAAAGTACGTACAACTTGTTGAAATTACCACGCTTCTTGGAAGCGTCGTAGATGTTTATATTGAGTGTTATCAATTCATCCTTATAAGAAGACAAGCGATATATTCATCGTCACGCATCGCATCGGCACGGAGACGGATGGAAAAAAACCAGTGTTATTAAGAGCAAATAATTTTATCTGTGGTTAGAAGTTGTGACTTTCATCGTGCTATCGGCGAAGATTCAGCCGGGAATAGTCAGTCGATTGTTAACGATCGAGCAGAAGTGAACAACGAGCCATCCGCAGAGTAAGTCAATCCTGTTAATCTCTTTCATAAATGTGTAAATTTTCTCTATAATTTTAATATAGCGAATTAATAACGTCGGCCTAATTAGAAAACCGTCTAACTCTACTTTTTGACAAACTTGAGATATTTATTTCGGCCAATTTATCTTGAGATTTTGCACCGTTTGGAAAAATTATTAAACAGTAATTTTTCATTAAAAAGAAACTAAACATTTTGAAAAACGCCTTTTAACTCCCTACTGATTCTCCCACCTCCTAATTCCATGGTGATCCGAAGTTACGTGATTCTGCGAGTTAGAATTTCTATTTAGACCGATGATAATATAATTCTCTATAATTTAAATATTTAGATCAAATAAAATTTTATGTATAATTTTTTTTCGTGACGATGACACTATCAGTATCCGCTTTATATTTATAGCTACAATTGTCAGCAATAATCAAAGACGTAATAATATACCTTGTGAAGTTGCTACCGTTTTAGTCACGTAAAGTTATATAGTATATAAATACAGTTATTTGCTGTTTTGTTACAAAGTATCGATTTACTACTGAATATTAAATACGAAGTTATTTCTGAAACATCTCTAAGACCACCGCCTCCACACAAATTATAAGACAAAAGCATATTTGAATTTACTGTAGATCTTTCTTATTTTCAAGATAATATATGTATTTGTATTCTTCTTCGCATTATACAAGCTCTCTGTTATATAACGCCACTGCGTATTACAACATTATGTTATTATTACTATCCTGGTATATCGCAAAGTGTCAATTAACAAGTATAAAATATTTTTTTAATGCTATAATGCAAATTACAAGAACAAATTATAATATAAGAGAAGATTCAGGAATACAATACAATAGGAAACTATATAAAAAGTTCAAGAAAAAACCACGTGAATGGCCTAGCTAATGAAAATTAATTTTCATTCTGTAAAATGTTTCCTCAATGCTCTCAGAACTGACAAAGAAAAGAGTTCGTCAGTTTGATGCAGCCGACAAAAAAATTTTCATTGAAATCGGCAAGTCAACCTTTGTGGCCTCTTCTTGTCAGATTTAATATAAGTTGTCTTGTGTTTCATCTCCAAGATACTTTCGTAGATTGCACAGCTGCAACAACATTAATTTTTCATGTGATAGGATGGCATACGTGTGTATTGAGGACTACGAGAAGCATGCTCTGGAACGTTTGCCTGCCTTCGTGAGGGATTACTACAAGAGCGGCGCGGGAGAAGAATACAGCGTCAAATTGAATAGGGAGGCTTTCAAAAAGTAAATCTATCTTTTTCAAGTAAAAGTAAGAAAGTTTTGAGGGAGAAAAGGGGGAAAGTAGAAAATAAGAAATAGTCGTGTGTTCGACATGAAATATGTAAGCTGAAAAGATCGTTATTTAATTTTTCCAAGATGGATGTAGCGAGATATCGGATATATTAAATATATTCTTCGTACAGGTTGGCGATTAAAAATGCGTCTGTCTCAGTACTCGATCATTTTTAATATTCTTGCAGTTACAGGATACGTCCTAGATTCCTGCGAGACGTGTCCAAGAGGGACATAAGCACGACAGTGTTGGGTCACAAAGTTTCAATGCCCTTGGGAGTCGCACCTACTGCGATGCAGCGTATGGCACATCCTGACGGAGAGTGCGCCAATGCAAGGGGTGAGTAGGCGTCTCGTGAATATGTTTCTTTAGATACTGCAGTGAGATATGATCATTACTGATCAGTTAGAGCTACAACTTTATTGCACACCATACTTTTATCATTCGGATTGGTACTTACATTTATTGTAAAATATATATAAGGATTTTTTTTAATACAAACTCGTATTAAATCATATAAATATGCTATAAAAATAGTAATCAAAGATTAGTCCAGATACACCAACGATCACAGACAGTTAACAATGTTGCTCTAACATTCACTCAAACATAAACGAATATACTGATAAATATAAAGAATAAATGCTTCAAGTGTGTTCATTCGCTCTTACAATAATTGCTAACGAATACTTCATGTTTTTACTTTGACCCTTTGAGTATATCGCAGAATAACTTTCAATAAGAAGCAATCATGCTTTTATATATATTCAATTGGAATAAGACAGAGAAGATAATATCGCATGGTAAACCGCATCTTGTTTTTCTCTACCTATATAATAGATACATTTCAAAGAAAAGTTATAGTATGTGTGTTGAAAGATACTAGTAGTATAAAAAATGCTTATTTGTTATTCATTTTACAATTTTTTGTATTATATCTGCGTATTATTAAAAAAAATAGATATATTTTATATTTCAAGTTATTCTATAATTTACTCACAATGCATTGAAAATGGAAAATGTTTCGTATATTCCTTCTTTTCTTCACTGATAAAATAATCTTATAATTTGATCATATAATTCATAATACTTATTTATGAATTAATACTAATGGAATGAATAGTTAAAATTACACAAAATATGTCACATAAATGATTAAAAGTTAGTTTTCCGGAAATCATTAGAGATTTCAAAGAGAATCTTTTTAAAGTTCATAATATAACTTTTTGTGTAAAACGATAAAGACCTTAAAAATTTTCGAAACTTTGTTATAATTTCTAATAATCATGCAGAAATTATATTACACAGAAAACAGTTTGCGTAATAGTTTATGCATGTTTCATATTATACATATAAATCATATTCACGATTTCTCGATAGAATGTTTAGAACTTTGTTCATTAAAAAAGCTCTGTTTCGATCAGAAAAACACATTGTAGCACAAATAAAAGGATATGTCTAATGTTAACTTGAGCGAAAGGTGAAACTTAAATGCTAAAATCATTATCGTACCGTATTCCTACGTATGGCTATATGTATGATGTAAGGCACGATAGAGCGCTTATGCGATATGTATAGACACATCCGCCGATATGAAGACCGCTTGCTATCCAGTCTGCACATTCAAGGAACGAAAATTTCGCCTTACGCTACGTGCAAAATTACTCGGGTCGCGCGCTGATCGCTGATTGCTCTTGGTTAATTATCAACACAAGTGCAGTATGCTGCTCAAATTGAAATTTGCGATGACTAGTAACCAGGAATAAACGAAATTCCTTCCTAGATTTCTATAACGAATAGGAATTCGGCGCGAGCCTACTGTTCAACAGACATTATGGCAGTACGAGGAAAGAGAGTGTTCACTTGAGCTTCGGGCCTATGTTCTCCCAATTATTAATCGCTTTCATGTTAACTTGCTCTATCCGCCATTTCTGAGTGGGTGACGATTTGTCGCACGCAGTCACAAATACTCTCTTACCGCCCGGATCGGTGTCCAGGCATCTCGACGAGTAACCATGCTGTAGCCATTGCTTTTCGACGTCGTAACGCCACAACTGATTACCCTGTTTCCCATGGCAGGGATACAGGCTCACCGGTGCTTTCTCCTCGCCCCTGGACACGTCCAAGCAATCCGTGCGATCCTTCGGCCTGATGTCCTTATGCCAAGTCAGCCGGAACTCCTGCTCACCCGACACTTTTGTGTCGTCCTTCATACAAGTGTCCATCATGACAAGTTCGTCCCTCTTGCGCTTCTTCGAGTCCAAGCACAGATCGGTCGCGCCCATGTTCCTGATCTCCCCGTAGGCAAAGTCGTCCGGCTCAATGGGCGGGTACACCTCCACGAGATCGAAAGCTATGTTCTCCATGAACCACTTAAATGATTTGCAGTACAACCTCGCGCGCAACGCCTTCTGTTCCGACAGATCGCCCGGGTCCAGCGCCCGCAAGTGCGGCCGCCTTTTGTAGATGTATTCCGCGTACTCGTCCATCCACACCTCGGCGACTCTCTTGTAGTTCTTCCCCAGGAAGTCGCCGCGGCCGGGATTGGGAAACGGCGGGAATTTGCGATAGATATGACCGACCCTGGAGCAGGGCGCGTCATACATTTGACCGCCGCACTGCCAGATCTTGAAGGACAACTCGTACTGTTCGCCACCCCATATGTCCAAGCCTGGATCATAGCCGCCCAATTCCCAGAAAAATTTGGTGCTGATCGCAAACAGACCGCCCGCCATTATAGGACTCTTGAACGGCTCCGCGGGTTTCTTCAAGTCTTCCGGAAGCAATGGGAGCCGCTTGTAATACAACTCCCAGTCAAACGCACCTCGGGCGCCCTCGTCCTGCGCCCTGTACTCAAATGTTTCGTAAGCTATCACGTCGATGAACGGGCAAACGCAGGTTTTATAGTCGTGCGCGATGGGCTCTAACAACGGCGGCAACCAATTCACGTTAGCTTCGCTATGCGAGTCCAGAAACACGAGTACCTTCGCCCTCGCCTTCTTCGCGCCCGCCAGTCGACCTCTGATCAACCCTGAGCGTTTTGGTAATCGCACGATCGACACCTTCGGCAAGTACTGAGCAACGTAATCGTCCAGCTTCTTTTTTAACTCGACTTTCGTGCTGGCGTCGTCGACCAATATGATTTCTTCTAAGAGGAAAGGCGGCGAGCGGTTAACCACGCTCCAGCAGGTTCGCAGCAGCGTGCTGAAGTGCTCGTTGTGGAAGGACACTATCACAGAAACGGGATCCAGGTTCTTCGAGTATTTCTTCTTTCTACAATCCGGATGGCGGATATCAGGCACTGAACGATTCACTGAGATCTCATCGCTGAGAGCCGCATTGAATCCATTTACTTGATACAATTTTTCCTTTCGCGCATCGAGGGACGGGGAGAGAAAGGCTGGTCTCCCGTGTTCTCCCATCCCCGTTCGCTTCTCTTCCTCCTCAATCTTCTTGTAGTCGTGCCAATCAATTTTGTCATCCACATCCTGTAAAAACATGTTGAAATCGGTGATTACGGATGAAGCAGAGTTGCCTGCTCTTATAACAGATTCGTTTACAGAAATACTTGCAGGGGTGAAATGAATTTTTTGAAAGATATAAATCTCAATCCATTTTTCGCGTCGAATAATTGCGCTGTTATCACGTTGAGAAAAAAAAATCATTGACCGCGACCGGCGCATCTGCAGGCGATGCACGAATGAAGAATCGGCGAGCGTAATTTTTTTGCGATCCTAGAAAAAACCGAACAACCGGCTTGAGCGCATAATCGCCTCGGTGCTCCCCTGATCGCTAGGAATGCAACAGAGATGCGGCTGAAACTCGTTTGCTAACTGTTGTGCGCATATGAGGAAAGTAGGTTTATAAGTATGCACGCGCGTAAGATCCACTCGTAATATCCGGTACGATACTTAATGCTTCGACTGCCGACGCCACAAAGGATTCGCGTATTTATTGCAGATACGGCGTAGCTTTCTTTTACCGTGCCAGCAGGAAATTGAGCTCAACGAAGTTACAACCGCTCCAATTCTCTCTCTCTCTCTCTCTCGACGACCGGCGGCGCGAGATCTAGTCTGCTGTAATTTTTCTTTTCTTCTCAGGCTCGGCAAGCAAAATAGTTAATAGTACGCTGACACTATGTGCGTAGCCAGATTTGCGCGGAATGTTATGGAAAACCGGCAACCAACTACGTCCGCATCAAGCTCCCAGATAACATGCTTGTCTAAAAGACATCTTCAAGACTTCTTTAAGACGCCTTTAAGACGTCTTAAAGATGTCTTTTAAACATGCATGTTATCTGGGCTGATATTCCGTCAGCAGAGTCTGCTGACATAATCTGAGCATAATCTATTATTTGTTGCTCGTTCAAATGAAACGTATCACTTAAACGAAACAGTAAGATCCTTCTTTCTTTCTGCAGTCCACAATCTGCCATTAATGTAATGTACATACATTTTATCAATTTCCCCTTAAGGGTTACAAGGCGTTTTTGAAAGAACGTGCCCAAACCTCTTACAACACCTCTCTCTAAATCCACCTCGCTATGTGGCGATCGAACGAAAAACCAACAACGTTTTGTTTAGATTTTGAACCCGGATCTTCGGATTACCAGACCAGCGCACAAACCTCTGCGCCACGATCGCCACACCGCAATATCTGCCATTATACTCTATTGATAAATTTGATTATTTTTGTTGGCACTAATTGGCTCTGGCAGATTCCGCAAGGTCTGCCACAAGTTTTATCAGCTAGCGGATAGAGTGTCATTAGAGACATAACGAGATC